GCCGCGCCCGGGGCCCCGACGGCGCCGACCGCGTGCTGGAGCTCTTCGACCCGCCCAAGGTAAGCACGGCCGCGCGGGCTGCGCACTGCGTGAGCGGTGCCCAGCGCACACGTGGCGGAGACGGGCCAGTCTTCCAGCAGGTGCGCGCAGAGTGCCCAGAGGAAAGCAGGCCTTTTGAAAAACGAACTTTTTCTTTTGGAATCATTTTCGATTTACGGAAAAGTTGCAAAGATAGTACAGAGTTCCCTTCTACACTGCACCCAGCTTTGCCTAATGTTAGCATGTTAGGTTACTCTTTACGTTTGTCTTAACTAAGGAACCGACACTGGGACATTACTATTAGCTAAACTCCACGGTTTCTTTGGATTTTGCTAGTTTTCCTCTAATGCCCCTTTCTGTTCCAGGGCACCATTTTAGAGTTGGCTGTCATGCCTTCTCAGGCGCCTCTCAGCTGTGACAGTCTCTCAGGCTCTCCTTGTTTTGTATGACCTTGACAGTTTTGAGGAGGATGGGTCAGGGCTTTGTAGAATGTCCAGGGACACCACACGTGGGTGTCACATGGGCTGGTGGTAGGTTGGTCCAAGGTCCTTGAAAACCTTGCCCCAGACCGACCGTGACAAACAGGAGGTTCTCTCTGGGGCTCACAACCCTCGTGGACCTCCTTGCGCCTCCTGTGTTTTGTGGATGTCTCATTTTCTCTCGCGTTTAAAAAGCTGTCTCTTTCCTTTGCCACCAACTTAATTCCAGCTGTGCAGTGAAGGCCGAAGGGTCCCTGTGTTCCACACACCTGATGAACCCCATCTTTGACTGGGTGTATCAAGTTGACGGGACCGCGTCCTGTCATTCGATTCCTTTCTCTTTGTGGTCCTACTGTGTGCTGGGCCTTGGTCTAGAGAGTGAGCAGAGCCGACGTGACCCCAGCCTCAAGGGCTCACAAGCTGGGTGGAGGAGACTGACAGTTATTCATTCATTCCACAGATATGTATTTAGCACCTACTGTGTACCAGGCACAGGCTAGATGCTGGTGGAGCTGGCATCTCCGGGGGGGCTAGTGAAGGGATAAACCTACAAATGAACGTGGATTATAAATTGTATTTTGTGTTCTAAAGGGAAGCAGTGGGGCCTCAGGGAGGATAACCGAGGGGCCCTAATTTGGTGATGGATGGGGTGGGTGTTGTCAGAGGTGTGAAGTAACTTTCTCTTTGAACTTCATTGCGGTGTCATGGGCACACACAGCAGTGTGTGAAGTGCATCTGAAGCTTCATGAGTGTCCCCGTGTGGACAGCCAGGTGACCCAGCTCCCCAGGGGACTCCCTCACACCTCCTCCACGTCAGTACTCCTCCCCTCACACACCGACTCCTACCCCCGCCGATGACATTTCTCTGTTCTCGAACTTCACATAAACGGAAACACACAGTGTGTTGCCTTTTATGTGTGGCTCCTTTCCTCAGCCTAATGTCTTCAAGCTGTGCCCACTTTCTTGTGTGCATCAGTAGTTTCTTTGTATCGCTGAGTAGTATTGCACTGTATGGACCTACCACAATTGGTTTATCCATTCACCTGCTGATGGATATTGGGGTTGTTTTCACTTTGGGACTTTTATGAATAATGCTGTTACGAAATGTGCATATAGGTCTTTGCATGGACAGATGCTTCCATTTCTCTCAGGTGGATTCCTAGAAGTGGGCTTACCAGGTCATACAGTAAATGCAGATTTAACTTCATAAGAAACTTCTAAACTTTTCCCTGAGTGGCTGCTAGGTTCAGTATCCCCACCGGCAGTGAGAGTCTTTTTTCCTGTCAGCCCTCCTCGTGGACGTGTACTGGTGTCTCATTGTGGCTTTAATTTGCATTTCCCTGATGACTCATGAAGTCAAGCACCTTCTTCATGTTTCTTGGCCATTGGAATTGACTCTTGTGAAGTGCTTGCTATTTTTATTGAGCTGTCATCTTTCTCTTATTGATTTGTAAGAGTTTTTATATATGCAGGACATACTTTCTCTGTTGTAAATGCCACCTCCCGTACTGTGGGGTTGTCTTTTTACTCCTTTAATAGAATCTTTTCATGAACAGAAGTGCTTAATTTTAATGAAGTCCAGTTTATCAATTGCTTTCCTTTATGGTTAGTGCTTTTCGTGTCCTGTTTAAGAAATCTTTGCCTACCTAGGGTCATGAAGATCTTTCATGTCTTTCTAGAAGCTTTATTGTTTGGGCCTTCACATTTTGGACCAAGATCCATCCCCAGTTAGTTTTTGTGTATGGCCTGAGGTGGGGGTCTGGCACGAGGTGGGGGGTCTGGCACGAGGTCGGGGGTCTGGCTCGAGGTCGGGGGTCTGGCGCGAGGTCGGGGGTCTGGCGCGAGGTCGGGGGTCTGGCGCGAGGTGGGGGGTCTGGCGCGAGGTCGGGTCTGGCATCAGGGAGGGGTCAGGAGCCTCGGCTTGCTCCAGCACTGTTTGCTGATGTGACCCTCCTTTCCCTGTTGGATTCCAGTGCTGCTTTCACCCTGAATCCAGTGTCCGTCTGCGTGCTTCTGGACTCCCTCTTTTGTTCCGCTGGCCTATGTGTCTGTCCTTACGCCAACACCCCCCTCTCTTAATCACCAGAGTTTCATAGTGAGTCTTGAGGAGGTGACTTTTGAGTGGAGATCTTCATCCTGAGTAAAGAGGATGGGTGTTCCAGGCAGAGGGAACAGCATGGGCAATGGCCCTGGGATGGGAGAGTGTTTCACACGTTCTGAAGAAAGAATTACAGAAGAGGCCAGTGTGGTGGGGGCACAGAGGGAAGGTGGGTTACAGGAGCTAGCATTTTATTTTGAACACCACGTGAAGCTGTTGGAAAAACACAGGTGCAGATAAAAACTATTTTCTCATCATTTAAAAAATGTCTTGAGGGGCCGGCCCCGTGGGTAGCGGTTAAGTGCACGCGCTCCGCTGTGGCGGCCCGGGGTTCGGATCCCGGGCGCGCACTGAGGCACCGCTTGTCAAGCCATGCTGTGGTGGCGTCCCATATAAAGTGGAGGAAGATGGGCATGGATGTTAGCCCGGAGCCAGTCTTCCTCAGCAAAAAGAGGAGGATTGGCATGGATGTTAGCTCAGGGCTGATCTTCCTCACCAAAAAAACAAAAATGTCTTGAGGCTCAGACACCACGAAAGGCAAATAATGCCCCAAACCCATGGTCTTAGCGTGATAGTGTGGAGGCCCCTGTAAAACTTCACTTTAGAAAACAACTTGTGCTGCTTAAAATAAACCATCTTGGAAAACCTGATGTCAGGAGTTGGATGGGCAAGTTCAAACAATGAATTAGCTTCTTTCCCAGCTCTGGGGCCTTGGGCAAGTGACGTCACCTCTCCAAGCCTCGGTTTCCTCCTCTGTACAATGGGGCTACTCACGGGTCCCACCCTGTGGGCTGCTGTGTTTCCTAGGAGAGCACGTCAGCTGAGCGCCTGGCACAGGGACACCGCCTGGCCCTCCCTGTTCCCACTGTGGTTGTCATGGTAACGACATGGGGCTGAGAACACAGATTCGTTTTCAGGGCTGGTTGGGCCCTCGGTGCCGAGCTGGGAGGCACCGTCCAGGCTCCTGGTCTTTGGGAGAGCCTCAGGGCTCAGAGTGGTGTTCACTGGCCCTGGGTCCCTGAGCTCGCCCTCCGCCCAGGCTGCCTGGGGCTCTGCTGTTGGCTTGGTGGTTGCCGTGTGATCCAGGGTGTCGCCCACAACGTGATCAGCCCTGATGGGGCCTCTCCCAGCCCCTCCACAAAGCGTCTGGCCTGACAGACCAGGTCCAGCGCCATCTGACAGCTCCCCGTGTGTTGAGAATAGTCTAGGGGCTGTTCCTGAATGTTTTCTGGAATGATTCGGAGCGTCCAGTCCCTGGGCCAAGGATACTGTGACTGTAAGTCCTGAGTGTGCCTGCCAGGTGGGCAGCCCTGGTCCCCGACCTCTGACCCTGGCGTCGTCTGTGGGATGGCTCACGTTAGCGATGGTGCCCAGGTTCCCACAGCTGTGGACAAGAGGACAGGAAGCTCGACGGCCAGTGGCTGGTGGGGAAGGGCTTGAGCTCTGGATTCACACCTGAGCTGTCACTTCGAGGGTCCCCAGCACCAGCCGGAGAAGGCCCCTGCTGCCCAGAGCAGGACGAGGCTGGGAGAACAAGAACTGAGACAGGGCAGCTGCCCAGGGACATCATGCGGGCTTCAGCCAAGCAACTGCCCTCGAGAATCTGTGGCCAGGTGGCCGGGGGCTCATGGGTAAGCCTCGCCTGCAGTTGCATTCCAGCTCGGCCTCTGACCAGCTGTGTGGCCCTGGGCTGGTCCCTTCGGAGCCTCAGTCTCCTCATCTGTAAAGTGGGGGTGATAGCAGCACCTCAAGGGTCCGTGAGGGCTGCGGAGGAGGGAGCTCCTTGTGACTGGGGGTGTGGAAGGGGGCATAGGCTGCTGCAGTGGGGTTGCAGGAGACATTGTGGCTATTTCCCAAGGTCCAATGTTGGGGAGAGAAGTCAGGGCTTCCTCTGGTTTCAGTGGCATCCCCATGGGTGGGCGGGAGGTGGGGCAGTCCTCCCTTCCACTGTGTGCTAGCCCTCTGGGGAGGCTGGGGATTGCCATTCGAAGGCCCCTTGGCAGGAGGTGATGTCTGAGATGAGAGAAGGTGCTGGTCCTGAAAGATCTGGGTGAAGGAGTCCTTGGCTGAGGAAATGACCAATGCAAAGGCCCTGGGGTGAGCATGAACCAGGAGACTTTGAGGAACAACCAAGTGGCCTGGCCTGGAGTGGAGGGAGCAAGGAGGGATGAGGTTGGAAAGGTGATGGGCTGGAGTTGGTGGGGCCTTGTGGGCCACGGTGAGGACTTTAGGTTTCACACTGAGAGCAGTGGGAGCCCTTGGAGGAGTTAGGCCCAGAGGGACTGAGACACTTGCCAGGACTACCCAGCAGTGGGAGTGGGCTAGGGATCCCCTCCAGGGCTGGCTGTGGGCGAGTGTGGTATGATTCTCCTAGAAGACCCTCTGCTGCCACGTCCACTAGTGCTGTGGCACCGCCCCCCGTCAGGCATCTCTGGGCCCAGGG